ATATATATATTATGCAGGACTAAAACTGACATAAAAGCCTATAGGACACATCTAAAGAAGCGGTTTATCATTTTGGTGTTTCAATTCGGTCTTCAAATTTCTGCCCAACCTAAGTAATAATTTATATGAAATACGATATAGAAATTTCAATATAAAAAATTCTATTGCAACTAATTAGATTTAATTGCATAGTCAAACTAACTTTCATAAATCATTTTGGTGTTTTAATTCGGTCTTCAAATTTCTGCCCAACCTAAGTAATAATTCATATGAAATACGATATAGAAATTTCAATATAAAAAATTCTATTGCAACTAATTAGATTTAATTGCATAGTCAAACTAACTTTCATAAATCATTTTGGTGTTTCAATTCGGTCTTCAAATTTCTGCCCAACCTAAGTAATAATTCATATGAAATACGATATAGAAATTTCAATATAAAAAATTCTATTGCAACTAATTAAATTTAATTGCATAGTCAAACTAACTTTCATGATCCTTATGATCCTCGTGCCCCAACTGACATTGAATGAGCCAAAGTAATAATTCATATGAAATACGATATAGAAATTTCAATATAAAAAATTTTATTGCAACTAATTAGATTTAATAGCATAGTCAAACTAACTTCCATGATTATAATCCTTAAATTTTTAAAAATTTTGCAAACCTTTTTCAATAAATGATTGATAAAAGCCATAAAATTAACAATTCCTACATGTATTATTTTTATGTCCAACTTTTATATTAAAAAAATAAAATAAAAATATTCGTTCCCCAACTGACATTGAATGAGCCAAAAATAAAAATTGTAGAGCAGCAACTAATAAATTTTGTTTTACAAGCCAACTTTATGTTTCTTCTATGACAAGAAAACTGTTTCTTCTAAATTACTTGACTATGTACATGCTGATGCTGATGTTTGGGTCCGGCTAGTATGCCACTCATGGTGGAAGTCGATCTTCACTTATTTCATACATTCATATTATGAATTTATAAAGTCGATATCCACTTATTTCAATGATTGAATTTATAATATTTTACTCTTAATTTGAATTTATTGATTATGGTGTATTATTATTTTTCCATATCATGCAGTGGTTATATATTCACTCACTTATTTTATTTATTTTATCTAACTTATTTTATTTATTTTATCTAACTATTATTGTATTGCTTTTGAAACGATGTATTATTATTTTTTCATATAATGTATAGTGTATGGCCACTTTTCTAGAATATTGATCTTCATAATTTTAATAATGAAAATAAGTTAGAAGTGTATGGGTAAATACGAACGGTTTTGACTGCTTTTACTATGTGGAGTTCATATAACATTTTTGTTTCACAACCTTTGTTGTTAATCGCTTCTCTTTATTTCTCTTTCAAAAAACTCTCCCTCTCCTTTGCAAACAAAATCACAGCTCCAACGTCTGGCCTTTTCCTCTGTGCTGCTGTCGGCGTTAAGGCTCCTCCGGCCATGGGCTGGCCGGTAAGGGCGGAAAGTATGTCATAGGGGCTATTAATTGTCCCCCCAAACTTTAATTTTTTTACTATGTGTAGACATTTTCAAAAAATTCACTCTTTCTTGCTATGTACAATATATACAATATATTATAAGTTGTGTGAAGTTTAATTGCTATTACTATTTGTTATATTATTAAGTATTATGAAAAAATTCAAATAAAGTTGGACTAAAATTAAAATAAAAGCACATTTATAGTTATAGTTCGGTTTTTAATTTTAGTTCTTTGATTCGGTATGACTAGTATTCGACACTGTATATTTGCACATACGTATATAAATATTATAAGTTATTTGTATGCATATAAGTTAAATTGATCCACAAATCCCTAAAATCAATCAATCTGCACCCGAGTTTGCAATAAGTAAATTAAGGTCGAGATTATATTGCAATTACCCAAAGATTGGGATAAAATTGCCAAACGCAAAAAAGTTAAGGTTTATTTTGCAATTAACCTAAAATTAAATAGGTTTTATTTATTAAGTAAAATATATTGCTAAGCTATATATATGGGATTAGTTCAAATGCGGCCGTTTTTTTAAAGCGAGGACGTGACTCATTTAGCCACAAGATTTGGTACATCATGTGTGGTCAAGATTTACTCTTTTCTTTTTATTATTTTAATTATTTAAATATTATCTTGACCCGTTGACTCCGGCGTTGACCGTTGACTTCCGGCGAAATCCGTTGACTTCTGGCGTTGACTCCGGCGTTGACCGTTGACAACTAACCTTCCAACTAGGTTAGTTATCTGTAGTTGCTAGGTTAGTTCTATGTAGTTGCTAGGCTAGTCTTCTGACATGTCCTCTCAGTTTTTAGTTGGTAGCTGTTCATTCAGCTATGGGGCTGTATTTGCACTTTTGTGCCTTTTGGTTATATCAATCTCTATCGTTTCGGATAAAAAAAAATTAATATTAGCAAGTAACTTTGTTACTGGAATAAAGATAGATATAGTTTATTTAGTTTGTACATACAATATGGATAACAAATCGAAGTTATCAAGAGATGATTAGTTTGATATATTATATATGTAAAACTGATTTTTTTTTCCAAAACGATAGAAAAATATATAAATGCGCACAAATGTGCAAAGGAACAACCACGAGCTGAAAACAAACAGCCAACAGCTGAATAAAATGAGAGGACAAGTCAACAGACTGACTAGAGCCGACTCCAATAGCGTAATACTCGGAAACACAACAAAAACACAACGACACTAAAATCTCCCCAAGAGGAGAATGAAAAAGAAAAAGAAAAAGAACCCAACAGAGTAATGCCTGAGTGTGCAATCCCGACAGGATAATAAGGTCATATCCGGACTAACTGAGGCCAACGGTCAAGACCTAAAACACAAAGACAAACAGAAGGCGAGCACATAAACCTACAACACAAAACAATAACAATAAAAACTAAAATAAACACAGAAAGCCCTTCCCACAACAGTAACAATATTCCCAACACGAGGCACCAGCAGAATCACTAACAAACACCCACAGAGATGAACCACAACCTAGAAATCAGCTTTAGAAACTGCTGAATCGCCTAGCTGAAGCTAATAGCCGAGGCCTGGACAACCCCAAGAAGTGAAAGCCGATTTATAGCCAGAGGACGTCGACTAGCCCCCCAACACTCCAGCTTCCCAAGACCCGACCAACACCACCAGCCTAGGTTCGGGAAGTTGGACATCCCTCGTCACAACACCAACGACGAGGAACACAAGGGGCTCGAATCAACTCACCTCAGCCCCAGCCCACTCAACTCAGACGAGCCGAGCATCCAGAGCCACCCCCAAAGCTGCGACAAAACACCACACCCCACCGCAAGACGAGCCCACCACCATAAACGTCAAAATCAAGCCCGCCACCAGCAAACCAACACCGAACGAAACCAAAGACGACCATCCACCGTCGACGCGACCAGAAAGCAAACCACCGAGACAGCCACCGGCGATTGAAGGCCAACATTAACCGACGATTGAAACATTAGACCTGTCATCATGGGGGAGCAGGAATAGAGATGAAGGAAAATGGAGGTTGAGGGTGCAACTGCGAGCCATCCGCGGGCAAAGGGACCGACGAATCGACGGGGAAGGTGCACAGTTGGCTCTAATTCGGTTCTTTTTTGGGCGACGGATGAGATATATGTAAAATTGATAAAAAATAAAAAATAACAAAATTTATTAACTTTCAAAATATATTTTATTTAAATGGTTATAATAAGAATAATATTAAAATGCAATTAATACATGTAACATGAACATAAATAATCAAGATATTTATGAATACTCCGAACTTAGTTATTTTTTGATTGGAAGTAAATTAAATTTATTAAAGCCAAATAATGAAACATGTAATTTTACCACATAGAATCTCAAAACATGCGAGTGTGTCACTTAAGCTCAACACTTTCGGAAATTATATATAAG